AAGAGAACCACAAACTATCAATTCATTTAGACGACACTTAACACAAAACAATGCTAAGCATCTTGCATGTTATCTCTTAATTTCAGTTAGTAATGACAGAACTGAAGCACATGTATACTTACTTGATGACCCTAACATACTACCAAATAGGACTGGACTCGTCAACTCGTGACTCGAGTGATTCGAATTTATCACTCTTCGAATCATGAAAGTTTAACTCGCGAGTTATTCGCAAATTAATTAATTGCGTAATTTAATGATTAATAAGGCTCATTCTTCATTACCGCGATTTTTATCAAGTTGCATTAATAATGTTTTAATAATTACATAATACGTATGTAATTTTGTGAAGTTTAATAACACGATACATTAAAAATTAAAAAAAAATAAATAAATAAATAACATGATATATGTAATTCTACATAAAAATTTTAATAAAGTATTGCAATCGCAAATTTTAATAATAACTCTTGCAAGTTATTCATACAAATATGGCGCAAAATGAAAGTGACAGTGAACATAGTGAACACGAAGAATTGTATGAAGAAAGTACAACTACTAATCAGTCTAAAGGTCGTCCTAAAAGTTTCGTCTGGGACTACTTTGACAAGGATAATAATGGTATAACTGTGATCTGTAAAGTTATATTGGATAATGGAAAGAAATGTGGTGTCTCATATAATGACGGCTCAACAACTTCAAATTTGATTAACCATCTCGCTCGTCAGCATAGGATATTGAAAAATAATTCTTGCCGATCTATTAAAAATCAATTTAATAGAACTGAGGATGAGTATGAATTGATACGGCAGAATTTAATTTCATTTATCATCGATGACTCGCAGCCATTTAATATAGTGGAATGTAAAAGTTTTCGAAAATTACTGCATTCGCTTGATGAAAATTTTTCAATTCCCTGTAATAAAACTATAAAAACTTCTGTTAGCAAATCATTTTCTTGGAGTAAAGAACAATTAACAAGCTTAATAGAAAAGGAGAGTGTTGCCGTGTCTATGACGATGGATTTTTGGACAAGTCGTCGTAACCAGGAATATATTGGAATCACGTGTGCTTGGATTTCTGATTCTTGGGAATTCAAAGAAGCACTACTTGTTTTACAACGTGTTCTATACCCCCATACAGGTGAAGTTATTGCTGAACTGTTGGATAATGTATTGGTTGAATGGGGTTTAATTAACAAAATGACGGTGATAACTACTGACAATGGGTCAAATGTAAAAAAGGCTGCCCGACTATTAGAACTTGATAGGATTCCTTGCGCAGCTCATGTGCTTCAATTGTCTGTTGGGAAAGGGTTAAACGTGATTAGGCATTTGGTTTTACGTGTAAAACGATTGATTGATTTTTTTAATAATTCACCTAAGCAAACCGAATATCTCCTTACCGCACAAAGAGACCTTGGGTTTAAAAAACGTTTATCAACCATTGGAGATATTTCCACACGATGGAATTCATCATTTTACGCATGGGAAAGACTTCTTTATTTAAAAAGAGCGATAGTATACCTTCCATCACGGCTTCAATCAGATGAAAGTGCGCCCGTACGAAAGGATGGTGAACGATTAGCACGTATTATGCTTAGCGATGATGAATGGATATTTTTAGACGAATTGAATGATATATTGTGTGGTTTTGAAGAAATAACGACGTTACTAAGTGGAAATACTTATGTAACAATTTCTTTAATGTATCCAGCTATTTCAACATTAGTGAAAACTTTAAAAATATTATTACAACAATCTTATATTGAATCAGCTTCAACAGATATGGGTGAATTAACAATTCTCGATTCTGTAGAAGAAATTATCGACGATACGAAAGACATTGTTGAGATTAAAGAAGTTGACGCTTCATTAGGAATTATACACAAAACAATTAACATCTCAGTTCCAATGATTACAATTGGAATGCTTGAGAAGGTTAAAAAAGTATTGTATGATAGTATGTATCATTATTGGAATTCTGTTACAGACGTCGGCATGTTGGCATGTTTACTTGATCCACGTTTTAAAAAGCTACGTTTTGCCAACACAAATGTGGTTATACAAACTAAAGAACACTTAAAAAGTTTGTATGAATTGGAATGTGAAATTCACCCAACTCCTAAACGTCCAACGTCTTTGTCAAATATTCAGCATGATGATCATAATGATTTCGAAGCTGGTAGAATTCCAAAAAAAACGAAAATCAATTTTATTAGATTTATATGCTGATGACAATGATAAAATTAGTGAAATTGATGATTACTTAGCTTTAGAAGAGGAGGGGAGATGAATGGATCCTTTTCAATGGTGGAGCCTTAAAAAAGAACGGTTTCCTATATTATCAAAAATTGCACAGAAGTATTTGTGCGTATTAGCAACTTCAGTCTCATCTGAACGGTTATTTTCGGATGTTGGAAACAATATTACACCAAATCGCACAAATCTTGATCCGGAATTAGTAAGTGAGATGTTATTTTTAAAGAGAAATATGGATTTATTCGATACAATATTTCCAAATAATGAATAATTAACTTGCTATATATTTGCGTTACAACTTGTAATTTGAGATATTTGCTTTTATAAATAAAGGATAACATCCCTAATATATAAATATAACTAGTATATTTTTAAAATACATTTATAATTTATAATAAATAATATTTTGACTCGAGTAATTCGAATAAAACTCGAAAAAATAATTCGATCACATGATTCGAATATATTCGAATACTCTTCTGAGTTTAACTCGTGAGTCACGAGTTATCACGAGTCCAGTCCCTACTACCAAATCATCATATCTTCTCTACTATATATGACTCAGATGATATCCCATTGAGATCTAAACCAAGCCTACCAACTATACTACCTATTCCTTCTACCTCATCTATTTCAGAACACCAAACTGCTGAATATTCAACTAA